TACCCACCTTAACCTACCACACCCCGCGGTCTGTCAGTTTGTCTTACTGTGCTGGCTTGAGTGTTGCTGTGATGCTGGAAGCTATGCCACTGGTATTTCAAATACCAACAAGGTCACTCATAGTGGACAGGTTTCAGCTGAGCTTCCAGACTAAAACAGACTAGGAAGAAGGACTTGGTGGTTTATTTCTGAAAAAATTAGCCAGTGAAAACCTTATGAATAGCAGCAGAACAATGTCTGATATAGTGCCGGCAGATGAGCCCCTCAGGTTGGAAGGCACCCAAAATACAGCTGGGGAAGAGCCACCTCCTCAAAGTAGAGCTGACCTTAATGACATGGATGGAGTCAAGCTTTCAGGACCTTCATTTGCTGATGTGGCATGACTCAAAATAAGAACAGCTGCAAACATCCATTAATAATTGGAACGTGGAAAGTATGAAGTATGAATCTAGGAAAATTGGGACAAATTGTCAAAAATGAAATGGAACGCATACACATCGATATGCTAGGCATTAGTGAGCTGAAATAGACTGGTACTGGTCATTTTGAATCGGACAATCATATGGTCTACTATGCTGGGAATGACAAATTGAAGAGGAATGGTGTTGCATTCATTGTCAAAAAGAACATTTCAAGATCTATCGTGAAGTACAAAGCTGTCAGTGATAGGAAAACAGCCATATGCTTAAAAGGAAGACCAGCCAATACAACTATTATTCAAATTTACACATCACTACTAGGGCCAAAGATGAAGAAATTGAAGATTTTTACCAACTTCTGCAGTCTGACATTGATCAAACATGCAATCAAGATGCACTGATAATTACTGTTGACTGGAACGTAAAAGTTGGAAACAAAGAAGGAACGGCAATTGAAAAATATGGTCTTGGTGATAGGAATGAAGCCGGAGATCGCGTGACAGAATTTTGCAAAACCAAGGACTTCTTCATCGCAAATACCTTTCTTCAACAACATAAATTACAACTATACAAGTGGACTGCTCCAGATGAATACACAGGAATCAAACTGACTACATCTGTGGAAAGAGACAATGGAAAACCTCAATATCATCAGTCAGAACAAGGCCAAGGGCCAACTAAGGAACAGACCATCAATGCTCATATGCAAGTTCAAACGCTGAAGCTGAAGAAAATTAGAACAACTCCACAAGAGCCAAAATATGAGTATACCCCACCTGAATTTAGAGACCATCTCAAGAATAGATTTGATGCATTGAACACTAATAACTGAAGACCAGGAAAGCTGTGGAATGACATCAAAGACATCATACATGAAAAAAGCAAGAGGTCATTAAAAAGACAGGAAAGGAAGAAAAGAGCAAAATGGATGTCAGAAGAGACTCTGAAACTTGCTCTTGAACACAAAATAGCTAAAGCAAAAGGAAGAAATGATTAAGTAAAAGAGCTGAAAAGACGATTTCAAAGGGTATCCCAAGAAGGCAAAGTATTATAATGAAATGCGCAAAGACCAGGAGATAGAAAACCAAAAGGAAAGAACATGCTCGGCATTTCTCAAGCTGAAAGAACTGAAGAAAAAATCCAAGCCTCGAGACGCAGTATTGAAGGATTCTGTGGGCAAAATACTGAATGACACAAGAAACGTCAAAAGAAGATGGAAGGAATACACACAGTCACCATACCAAAAAGAATCAGTCGACGTTCAACCATTTCAGGAAGTAGCATATGATCAAGAACCTATGGTACTGAAGGAAGATGTCCAAGCTGTACTGAAGTCACTGGGAAAAACAAGGCTCCACGAATTGAGTGAATACCAACCGAGATGTTTCAACAAATGGATGCCAACACTGGAAGTGCTCATTTGTCTATACCAAGAAATCTGGAAGACAGCTACCTGGCCAACCAACTAGAAGAGATCCATCTTTCTGCCCAATCCAAAGAAAAGAGATCCAACAGAATGTGGAAATTATTGAACAATATCATTAACATCACACATAGGTAAAATTCTGCTGAAGATCATTCAAAAGCAGTTGTAGCAATACATCGACAGGGAACTGCAAGAAATTCAAGCCAGGTTCAGAAGAGGATGTGGAACGAAGGATATCACTGCTGATGTCAGATGGATCTTGGCTGAAAGCAGAGAACATCAGAAAGATGTTTACCTGTGTTTTATTGACTATGCAAAGGCATTTGACTGTGTGGATCATAACAAATATGGATAACATTGCAAAGAATGGGAATTCCAGAACACTTAATTGTGACCCTGAGGAACCTGTACGTAGACCAAGAGGCAGTCATTTGAACAGAACAAGGGGATACGGCATGGTTTAAAGTCAGGAAAGGTGTGTATCAGGGTTGTATCCTTTCACCATACTTATTTAGTCTGTACACTGAGCAAATAATGCGAGAAGCCGGACTACGTGAAGAAGAATGTGGCATCAGGATTGGAGGAAGACGCATTAACAACCTGATGACACAACCTTGCTTGCTGAAAGTGAAGAGGACTCGAAGCACTTACTGATGAAGGTCAAAGACTACAGCCTTCAGTATGGACTACAACTCAACACGAAGAAAACAAAAATTCTCACAACTGGACCAATAAGCAACATCATGATAAATGGAGAAAAGACTGAAGTTGTCAAGGATTTCATTTTACTTGGATCCACAACCAACACCCATGGAAGCAGTAGTCCAGAAATCAAATGGTGTATTATATTGGGCAAATCTGCCATAGAAGACCTCTTTCAAGTGTTCAAAAGCAAAGATGTCACTTTGAGGACTAAGCTGCGCCTGACCCAGGCCATGGTGTTTTCAATTGCCTCATATGCAGGCGAAAGCTGGACAATGAATAAGGAAGACCGAAGAAGAATTGATGCCTTTGAATTATGGTGCTGGTGAAGAATACTGAATATTCCATGGACTGCTAGAAGAACAAACAGATCTGTCTTGGAAGAAGTACAGCCAGAATGCTTCTTAGAAGCAAGAATGGGGAGACTTAGTCTCAGATACTTTGGACACGTCACCAGGCTGGACCAGTCCGTGGAGAAGGACATCACGCTTGGTAAAGTGGAGGGTCAGCGAAAGAGAGGAAGACCTTCAATGAGACAGACTGACACCATGACTGCCAACAATGGGCTCAAGCATGACAAGTATTGTGAGGATGGTGCAGGACTGGGCAGTGTTTCGTTCTGTTACACACAGGGCTGCTATGAGTCAAACTGACTGGATGGCACCTAACAACAACAACCCTACCAAAAACCAAATCTCCTAATAATTATGCCAAAAGACACAACAATCTAATAAAGGAATGAATGGTCAACAGCTTAGAAATCCAAGTAGCCGTAATAACAGACACAACAACAGTACTGAGCCAGCTGAGGTGCCGGAGGCTCTCAGATGTGAACTTCATGGGAGGGCAGTGGGTGGAAGCAAGGAAGGAGGGGAGTGTGGTGGCAAGGACAGCACGGCAATACTCTAACACAGTAAATGGTTTTGAATCTTTTTTCATATTTCCCAAGTTATTGTAAACGTCTAATTCTATAGCCCACTCGTAATAGGCACAAAGCATTTTTTTAAACTGCCAACTATTGATGAATCAATGGCAGGTTGCTGAAATTACAGTTCCTTTAAAATCTTAAAGGTGAATCACTTTTATCACGTCTAGGCACACTGTATTTCTTTCTGCGTGTGGAAAAGGAAAATCTGAAACCTCAGTACTTAACTCTCTCTTATCTGACAAAGTCCACGAGAAAATGACATTCGCATTAATTTTGGGGAGAGTCATCTCCTCCCATCAAGGAATAAGTGTAAAGAAAACGTGCAAAGAGACGTAAGAATGGGCAGCTAGGTCACCTCCTACTTCTCTCCAGTAAGGTCTTTCCGATTTTAATGGAAATAAATTCAGAGACCATAAACGTGAATAAAGGGAAAAGCATACAAATGACTTCTTGATTATCTGCAGTTTGGGGTCATCTACACTTCTTCTATTAATAAAAATAATCAAGAGGTGACCCTACCAGAGTTTTTTCAAAATGAAGAATAAAAACACAATAAAAATATCAGTGGGACAAATGTTTAAAAGAAAAGGAAACTCTGTATTTTGGAATGAAATATTATCTGATGCAGAATACATACAATAATTGCTCTACTATCAACTCCTTTTTCAAAACCAGAGTTCATCACAGAAACATGGGTTTGGAAAATTAACCATCATGCCATGAAGCAGGCTGCCATAAATGAAGGCCACTCCTCTCTGCTTACAGACGACAGCAAACTACCCCGGATGCAGACGCGTGCCTCAGGGCCTCAGCGCACAGTGTGTTTACGTGTATAAATCTTTACAGTCAGACCTTTGGATTGATAATGAAGTAGTGCACCACTTTACAAAATAAGGTACTAGTAAATTTAGATGTACAACAAATAGAACTCCGTTCAGAATACTAATTGCTGCTGTTGATACTCTAAAACACGTAATGATATCATTCAGACTCCATCTAAACATGCCTAATGCATCTGCTCTGCAGAAATCTTAATAGGTCTTGATGAAACCTTAGTACTAAAATTTTTAAATTATCAGACAGGCTTTGTAACTGAGGAACAAGCAAGCTTCCTGTCTGACACTTTTTTTTCCTACTGTTATTCTAATGATACACATTTAACTGTTACAGGAAAGAAAAGAATCAAATCAGAAACATCCGTAGTTTGCCGTATAATGATGCAGTGTTCCCCATGGAGACTGACCTTTTCACACAACGCAGGAGCTGAAAGGCTGAGTGTGGGCAACACTCAACATGTGTAAATGTGTAACCTGATTACGAGGCACTCAATGGACACCATTATTTTCCACCCGTTTATGTTAACATAAGCTCATACTTTGTAATCTTATGGTTAATCTCCTGCTCCAGCATATAGTGGTTGAATATACTTGCTCTTAGCAGGTCCACAAACCACTAACCCAGGGCGTTTTGAGTGTATAAGGTTCAATCCTGCATTTGAAACTCTTAGGCTACCTGTTACTTTTACCTGTGACTGGAATCTTTGTTGCCACACTTTCTTCCTTGCTCTCATCTCTGCAGCTGCTTGAAACTTCTAAAATTCGAACACATAATAATAAAAAAACATATTTCAGAGTTGTACTTATGGGACAGGTCTTTGTTCTAACTGCCACTTCTTTTATTTTCACTGCCTCCCTTCCCTCCTGTTTCTGGTTATTTTATTTGGTCTGAAACAGTACTGTCACTAAAAAGGAAACCTGTTCTAAATCTAAGGCAGCTCCGTGTCGCTTTCATGCAAGATCATCTAGCCTGAAATCTATCAAACTTGGTGAGATTTAAAACCAGCAAGCCTTAAATCCTGCACGTGTGCACTTCTGTGTCCACACTGAGCAGCTCGTAGCTATCTTGCAAATACCATACCAGTAGAGCAGTTCACTGGTATGCTTTAAGAGAATGCTGAAATAATCACAATTTCTGGATACTAAAAGTTGGTTATTAAACTTTGGGGGTATAAATTCATTGCTTCTTAATCATCTGTTTAGACTTTGATGAGGTCCTATTATAATTTTAAAAATGTTTAAAAATTATGAATAAATTCCATTTAGTGATATCAAGAACTTAACAATACTTTTATGGCATCATTTTAATGGAATCCTCTTCATCTTTGTGGGATGATCAAAATTATCTTCTGCCAAGTAATGAGTTAAGATTTCATAACTCATAAACATCTACTTTATTAGAAAGTCAGCAGAACTACAGACCTACAATTAGGTTCCCACTCCTGTTAGACTAAACAAGAACATACATACTTATTGGAAGTTGGTATAAAACAAATAACGTATTATGCGTGTTAAAATCAGAGATATTCTCTAGCTGGTTTTATTTTATAGGTATACCTTAAGAAACAGGGTGTCATAGTGACTCTGAATGCATTTTTGCTGTGGACAGACCCTCTAACAATAGTTACCTTGTTCTCCTGTAGGAACACTGTTGAGCCATAGACCGAGGTTTGCTTCCTTTATGCCACCATTGTCATTCAGAATAGATGGCAAGCTGCAGGATGATTCATCACTGTGAATAGATGACCTATCTGCACACTCTTCTGTGAGGGCTTTTTTCAATAATGCTGTTGCCTACAGGGTTTAAAAGAAAGCACAAAGAAATAAAAACAAACTGTAGCCACATTCCCCTTGGTCTCAAAGCCCCAGCCTTCAAACATAATTTTAGGTTAAGCTTTACTTAGGATTTAATTTGCTTCCCTGACATTTAACTGAAATTAAAACGTCTTCAAGATAAATTAACATCTGATTATTTCCCAGCATAATTTACTTCTTTGTAACCATTTACACTCACAATAATACATTTTTTTGAGGACTGAATCTTATGCAATGCAGAAGTGTTCTTCTATCTGTGAAGTGTGTATATGAGATATAAACACCTCTGAATTTTTTTCCTCCTCAATCTGGGCTGGCCCATCCCTTATGTGCATACAGAAGTTGCAGCCCCAGACCTGCCTTCTTGAGGAAAGATTTACTCGTTCATTGCACGCGTCCTGTTTTTGAGACACGTAAGATAGAGTTGATTTGATCTGAGAAACAGACCTAGAAAAGTGTGATCTTGTGGTAACCCCATCTTTCTAGAAGCGATCCTTGAGCTTCCCCTAAAATGGGGAATATTGCAGAAAAACTTTTCAGCTGAGGAGGTTGCACTGAGCAAGAAGATAACTGGCATTATTCTAAATTAGAACCTCAACGAGGACAGAGATGGTCTGCACTCTGCCTCTAAATCTGCCACAAGCTTGGGGAAACTTATCTGCTACACTGCCTGTTTTATTTTGAAGAGGTCTATTATCTTGGACCTCTGATGACGCAGTGGTTAAGAACTGGGCTGTTAACCAAAAGGTTAGCAGTTCGAATCCACCAGCTGCTCATTGGAAACCCTATGGGGCAGTTCTACCCTGTCATATAGGGTCACTATGAATCGGAATTGACTCAACCGCAACAGGTTTGGTGTTTTTTTGTTTTTTTAATTATCTTAGGAACTCTGATCGCACAGTAATTAAAGCACTTGGCTGCTAAATGAAAGATCAGATGTTGGAACCCCCCAGCCGTTCAATGGGAAAAAGATATGGCAGTATGCTTCTGTAAAGATTTATAGCCTAGGAAACCCTGTGGGGCAGTTCTATTCTGTCCTATAGGATTGCTATGGGTTGGAATCGACTCGATGGCAATGGTTTTCTTTGGTTTAAATTGTCTTAGCCCTATCACCTCATGTGTCCTGGGCAGGGAGGTGGGTATAGATTTGATTACAGCCAACTTCAGAGGTGGAGAAAAAGTGGCAGTTAATGGGACTTGAGTTAGCACCTGCGTCTCTTAATTTCAGTGCTTTTCCTCACAAAAGAAAAACATACGGGTAACAAGAACTAAACCTTTAGTTGTTGTTCTTCTTAGATGGTGTCATGGTTTGAATTATGTCCCCCCAAAAATGTGTATATCAATTTGGCTGGACCATGATTCCCAGAATTGTGTTGTTGGCCTCCATTTTGTGATTGTAATTTTATGTTAAAGAGGATTAGGGTGGGATTGTAACACCACCTTTACCCAGGTCACATCCCTGATCTAGTATAAAGGGAGTTTCCCTGGGGTGTGGCCTGCACCACCTTTTATCTCTCAAGAGATAAAAGGAAAGGGAAGCAAGCAGAGAGTTGGGGACCTCATACCATCAAGAAAGCAGTGCCGGGAGCAGAGCGCATCCTTTGGACCAGGGGCCCTGCACAGAGAAGCTCCTAGTCCAGGGGAACACTGAAGAGAAGAAGGCCGACAGAGAGAAACAGCCTTCCCCTGGAGCTGGCGCCCTGAATTTGGACTTTTAGCCTACTTTAACTGTGAGGAAATAAACTTCTTTTCATTAAAACCATCCACTTGTGGTGTTTCTGTTATAGCAGCACTAGATGACTAAGACAGGTGGTGTCAAGTTGGTTCCGACTCACAGCGACCCTATGTACAACAGAACCAAACACTGCCCGGTCCTGTGCCACCCTCACAATCGTTTGAGCCTGTTGTTGCTATGTTTGAGCCCATTGTTGCAGCCACTGTGTCAACTGATCTCACTGAAGGTCCTCCTCTTTTTTGCTGACCCTCTACCTTACCAAGCGTGATGTCCTTCTCCAGGGACTGGTCCCTCCTGATAACATGTCCAAAGTATGTGAGATGTAGTCTCGCCATCCTTGCTTCTAAGGAGCATTCTGGTTGTACTTCTTCCAAGACAAATTTGTTCTTTTGGCAGTCCGTGGTACATTCAATATTCTTCGCCAACACCATAATTTAAAGGCATCAATTCTTATTCAGTCTTCCTTATTCGTTATCCAGCTTTTGCATGTATATGAGGCGATTGAAAATACCATGGCTTGGATCAGGCACACCTTAGTTTTCAAGGTGACATCTTTGCTTTTCAACACTTTAAAGAGGTCTTTTGCAGCAGATTTGTCCAATGCATGCGTCTTTTGATTTTCTGACTGCTGCTTCCATGGGCATTGTTTGTGGATCCAAGTAAAATGAAGTCCTGTTTATCATGATGTTGCTTACTGGCACACCTTAGTTTTCAAGGTGACATCTTTGCTTTTCAACACTTTAAAGAAGTCTTTTGCAGCAGATTTGCCCAATGCAATGCGTCTTTTGATTTCCTGACTGCTGCTTCCATGGGCATTGTTTGTGGATCCAAGGAAAATGAAGTCCTGTTTATCATGATGTTGGTTACTGGTCCAGCTGTGAGGATTTTTGTTTTCTTTCTGTTGAGGTGTAATCCATACTGAAGGCTTTTAGTAGACAGTCAATTATCACATAGTTATGGTGCCAAGTGTATGTTTCTCCCCCACTTCCTGCTTAGCAGTAACAATGAGCCCAGGGAGAGGAAGCCTCACAGGTATGCTGACCTCTCACTGGTAGATGACCACAATGGCACATACAAGGCAGTGTCCGACCCACCTGTAGGGAATGAACGTGGGCTTTACAAGCTAACACAGATAGCGCACAGGCCATCTTCAGTCCAAGAGTGAAGAAGTAACAATGTAATCATCCAGTGAACAAGGGAAAACAATAATCTTTCCTTATGATTCACAGGAAGCGGGTGAAGGAGCCCTGAGGAGGAATTGCTGAGGCAGAATGTACAGCAGGGAGGGTCTAGCCTTGCTGTGCTTGGCTTTGAAGATACTCTGAGGCCATTGCCTTCAGCCTTGGTACCCTTGCAAGCCTATTGCCCTTCCAAGGGTTGTAGGCCTACTGGACCCACAGGCTATCAGCCGGAGCAGCTGACACTGGGGGATTTAAGGAGTTCATCTCCTCAAGGGCTTGGCCAAAGGACTTGGCATCAAGCTAGCCTTGAAGTTAGGACCTGTGTTCCAGTTTTAGCAAGCAGGAGCTTTTCCTCTATTTATATAAAATAGTCCCTGGATTTCACTCCAGTTGTGATAACTCTCTGTTGGGATGTTCTGCTCAGTATCCCCGCTTCTGCAGACGGGGGCTCAGGTATGGAGTCCAACCCTGGAAGTGCAGGCTAAGGCTGGTTCCCATCACTGGTTGCCATACTCCTCCAATCCCAGCTGCCTACATAAACCACTGCACTGTACTTGCTTTCAGAATCTGTCCAGGAAGACAGAACGAAGATTGGACACCACCTCCTAGCACTGCCATCTCTCAACTGTCAGTATACTCTCTGCACACCTTGGAAGTGTCCCATTTCTAGGTCTCCACCTCTCCTGATCTAGTTCCCACAGAAGGTCAAGTTCCTCTTCTGTGTGTCCGATATCCTAGATATATGAAAAGCATTTTAAGATATGAACAAAGAGAACTGGCTCAAATTCTGTAGTGAAAACTATAATTTTATCTGAGATTTAAAATAATCTAGATATCCTGTGAGAACTTCAAGTATGTATTTCTGCCCTACACTATCTGATACAATAGCTATAAGTAATAATTTCTTGGCATGACCTTATAATAGTCACTGTCTTAACACACATTTTAAAAATAAAATGGTTAAAGGACTCTTAAACCTTTCCATACTTTCTACCGTAGGCTGGCAACTATGAAAGATTCATAGGCTTTCAGGCAATTTAAAACAAACGACTTTATCATTCCTCCCCTCCCCTGAGTGCTGAAGCGGTGTTGGATTAGCAGTGACTCAGACTGCTTCGCACTGGTTCCTCCACGATGACACACACTGTATCTCACACTCTCGTGCACCACTTTCACCTAAGACTCTCTTTGGCTTTAGCTGGGTTCCCACTGGGCTTGAAAGAACACAGAAGAAAATGTAATAATGCTGAAAATGTCTTTCTACTAAGTCCTTAAACCACTACTGCAGTGCTGCTCAGAACCCTTTTTCCACAACGAGGTTAAGTAAAGTGGTGAGCATATTACAGTTTAATTTATTTAGTGTATTTTACCCCCTTTATCTTCACTCAGCACTCATCTGCAGGATTTTTCCTCCTTTTTTAATAGAGATGTTTATAAAAGATCTTATTTTTTGAACAATTTGTGCAGAAATTGCTAAATGGGAGCTAATTTCCTGTGTAAACTTTCACCAAAAACACAAAATATTAAAAAAAGAAGAAGAAGAACTTGTCTTTTAAGGCACTTGTACAGATAATTTCTCAAAGATGACTATCTTATATGTATAAAGATTTTGGTGGATGGTCAAACTATAACATAAGAATGGTTGGCTTAGCTCTACTGGACCATGGAGCCCACAGAGAGCAGAGGACCTACCCACGGGCCATTTGAAAAGGACTCCACAATGTAAGTCTCTAACAAGCAGTGAACAATGACAAACATGGACAGAAACCAAAGTCATCCTCAGTCAAGGAAAGTTCATAAGGTCAAAAACAACTTCTGTAGAGTCAGGACAAACATCTGTAACTCATTCTCAAGATGTATTGCTTGCAGATCTTTTAGAAAGGAGTACTTCTAAGGAAGTCCCCAATTTGAAGGAGCTGTAAGTCTGAGACTGACAACACTGACCCATACCTGCAAAGGAACAAAGGCCTAGAGAAGATGTAACAAGCTGCTGCTTTACACATCTCACACTGGGACTGAATGGGCTCTGCAAATTGGAGCTCGATATCTGAAAAATGCCACCA